GCCGGCCAGCTCCCGCAGCCTCCGGGAGAAATCCATAGCGGGGGGCTCCATCGCCATGGGGTTCAGTCGCAGCACCCTGTCAAAGGCACTAGGGTGATGGGTGGCCAGAGCCATTTCTTCCGCACCCAGGCGCTCAATGCGATGCGGATCCAAATGGTGCCTCGGGGGAGGGCTAAAGAGGGGCGGTGTGGGTGGGAAGCGCCCTTCTCCCAGCCCCGACGCCTCCCTCGAGACCGAGCCGGGTATTCTGAGCAGGTTAAAAGGGTTATTGTCTGCAATGTGAATCCCGTGGAGAGGTGGCTGGGAAGGGCACTCTGCACCTAGTCCTGTTGGGATACCAACCCGTGGCGTCAGGGGGCTGCCGTGCTCGCTTTCTAGGTAGATCCGTAAGCCGTGCGTGTTCTGTGCGTGCTGCAAGAGGAACCAGGCGCTGTTGAAAGGCTGTTTACAAGTCGTACACGTGTAGCTGCTGGGCTCGTCTTTACCTGCAAAATAACACAACAAGCAGCGTCAATCTCCGGCCACGCACCGGCGGGTGAGAGCTCGTCTCCCTGCCTAAGCTGCTCTCCTCTGGGATGCTCAGCTGGGAGCTGGGGAAGGGACATCCCAACTCAGGGGCAGGAAGGGGACAGGGGGACATGAGGACCATGATGGGGAGGTCCAAAACCCACCCACCTCCTCCCGCTGTCCCCAGCCCTGGGTTCAGACCTGAACCCTCAGTGGGTAACTGCAGCAAAACAAGATATAAACAATAAGAGACGATAAAGTCAATGGATGCCAGAGGCTGCTAATATTTAAACTGAAATAAATACATAAATAATTATAAACCTTCTGAAAAGCACTCCAGAAAACCACGTACATCGGTTCAAAGCAGCAACCCAAAGCAGCCCAAATGCTGGCAAGCTGGGCATCACCACATTAGCCTCCTCCTTATTTTGAGACTAATAATAAGTATAAAACCGGACAGTATCTCCCGCTCTTTAGCAGAGATTCAACTCTGGGGCAAAAAGAGGGAAAAAAAAAGGGGAAAAAGTTTAATCAAATAGAGAATGGGATGGGGAAAGGGGAAGGCAGAGAGAGCAGCAGCTCCGCCAGGGTAAGAGCTGGAGGGTGGCCAGGAGGCCTGGCCGAGTGCCCTGCCAGAGCCACATTATTTCTCTCGCACTGAAAAGAAGCTGAGGATGGTAAATGCCACTTTGGCAAGTAGCAAGCGAACTCTATTTCATGATAATTTATTTTTGGAGATAACATGGACATTATAAAAGAGCAACCAACTAATAAATAACTAAACAAAAAGCCAGCTAATAATGACAGCAGAAAGCAGCCCCTTCTAATATATGGCAAAACAAGGGGGAGGGAGTAAGTTTTTGACGGCTGCCCATGAGGAAGGGGTGGTGTGAGATATGGCAAAGGTGAGAGTGCTTTTATCGATGACTGTGATTTGGCAAATAATTCACTTCCACCCCCTATGGATGTTTTTGCTAAATGCTGGTAAAGTGAAACTGGAGCTCAGAGGATAAAAATTAATTCCCAGCCCCATCCAGCAGTTCGTGTAGAGCTGCTGTTTAGGGATATTTGAAAAAACAAAACATGATTGTGAGGTTTGCTGAGGAATAAACCAGGAGCCCTCGAAGGGCATCAGTGCTTGGGGTGATACCTGCCTGCACCACGTACTCCTGCCCTAATCCAACAGTTACATTAAAAGGCATCTGCTCCGTAGGCACCACTCCTGTATGTGCTGCACTGAGAGAGCTGCGCCTGTCAGGTTTCCCCTATTTGCCTTATATGAAGGAAAGGAAAAGAAAAAGCCAAATGTGGAAGAATTGGAAAGAAAACATCGCTTTATCTGCGCTCGTCTTGTTTCCCATCTCACTTGGGAGGAGGGGAAGAAAAGCTTCCTATAGGCATTTTCATTCTCCAGCGAGCTGAACGATGATTTGGGGATACGAGAGGCCCCATTGCAGCTTTCCTCCCTGCCTCCCAGCCCTGTGGTTACTCTACATTTGGCCCGAGAAGCTGAATCAGGCAAGTAAAAAGAGACTCAATCATCTACAGCAGGCATTTAACACTTTAGTCACTTGAAAAGCCCTTAGAATAATATTCAACGTTTCATCCTGAAAGAGGCGTCGGAACAAAATGCACTGCGGTGTTTAGGATGTGCCAGGCATGTGAGTGCAGATAAATACTTAAATCTGCTGAAATGAGAGGGAAATTCAATTGGACTTTCACATTCCTATGCTCACTTGTGAGCTCGGGAAAAAAACCTTCAATGGGGAAATTTCATCTTGCTCCACCATAATGAAGTGGAAGTTTTTAACACCACGGTGGGAGCTAACAATGTAACGCTGCCTCGCCTCTCTACCTTATAGATCGGGTCAGAGAAAATAGCATTTTATCTTCTAATGAGGATACAACATCAAGCGTTCGCTACCACATTTTAGTATTCCCATCAACTAGATATTCTAGATCATAAGGGCAGCTCGTGTAATCATAATGTCAATGAGAAGGGCTGTTACGACTGAGACTAAAGATTACATGGAAAAAGCTGCTTTGAAACTGGTAATTATTACCAGTCCACTAATAGCAAATGATGCATTACAGTTTCACCGTATAATCTGTATTTCACTCAGCTCCTGCCAGTACGGCCTTATTATATTACAGCACTCACAAATTCTAAATTCCTAAACTACAGTCATCAATAAATGTGTTACTTGCCATAATTTGCGAAATTACTTTGTTCATAACATCTTCGACTGTTACAAAGACTGGAATTGATTTCCTGCATGGCAAAATTAGGGCTACATTGATTTAGTGGAGTGTAAAATGTAATATTATTCTTCATGTGGTTGCCTGAAAAACAAGTTTTCAATTCACCATCCGCGTTTGGTAATCAAGAGAATAATTTAAATTTGAAATCATGTTTATGTACAAAACTTCCCCTATAAACAACCCACCATCTCCAAGGGAGCAACGTGAAACCAGGCAACAAAATCAAAGCAGCGAAACAGTTAAAATCCACCAGCCATTTGCCTCCACCTCCTGCTTTGAAGAGACACGATTTCTAATTTGTCTATTAGTGCTTGATTAATTATGAAGGCTATTGACTGACCATATCACCACCTAGAGATACGTTCCAGTCTGATGCAGCCTTGCCAAACTGCAAGAATTATGGCACTAATCCATGCATTGCCCGCCAGCAATGAGACAGGTCCTTACACCGCTGCAACAACCCCTGGTTTTGGAAGGTAACTCGCCTTTCCTTCCTCCCATCCCACCAACATGGGTTTTGGTGCAGTGTGCGGGTCCCCCCAGAAGCCAGGCAGGACTGTAGGACTCAAAGGCTGTGGATGCACTGATGTCTCCAGGCTGTGGGCCTCTACATCCACACCAGCTTTCTAGTTAAAGCACCTGGGTGAGGCCACAAGCACAACAGGGAGATGCAGTAGCGGGTGCTGGTCAAGGACAGAGCTGGAGAAGGTCTCATGGTGCTCTTTAAACCTCATCGTCCACTGGGGGAATGTGACGGGATGTGTTATCCAAAGCAGCGCTGCGAAACCGTCAGGACTTTCAGCTGACTTCCAAGAGGATAGCAGG